AAAAAAAGAAAGCAGATTTATAAAATGCCTGAGGCTTCAGATTTCAGTGGCCCCAGAGATCAACTTTCTGATAAGACACGGATAAAGTAAAACTTGGCAAGACATTGTTTGGGTCAGTAGTTTCAACTTCTGTCAAATATTATGCAGAGCTGACAACCTAAAGCAATTAACATGTATTTTCTAGTCATAAGAGTAATCCGTAATAGCTAAAACTGTTTGTTTGTTTGTTTGTTTGTTTGTTTGGAAACTGGGTCTTGCTACATAGTGCAGGTTGTGCTTGAATTCACTATGTAGCCCTGGCTGGCCTCAAATTCACAGCAATTCTCCTGCCTCAGTTTCCCAAGCGCTGTGATTACAGACATGCACCACCAGGCCCAGCTACAATAGCTAAAATTTAAAGCACCACTGTATGCCCTCTGTTATCCTTAATGCTTGTATGATAACTGATTTAATCCTCCCAACAATGCTATTGGCTAAGTTATTCATATCATCACTGGTCATAAAGAAAATGAGGAACTTGCCAAAGTGACACGGCTAGTAAATGTCACAAGCAGGATTTGAGCCTAAGCAGTCAGCTCCACAGGCTGGCAGTATCGCTTCAACAACAAGTATATTTTAGAAAGTTCAGAAAATACAGAAAAGTTGGGTTTTTTGGTTTTTTTGAGACAGGCTCTCACTCTGCAGTTCAGGCTGGCCTTGAGCTCACTTTGCAGCCCAGGCTGGCCTCAAACTCGTAACAATCCTCCTGCCTCAGCGTCAAACTCCTAACAATCCTCCTGCCTCAGCCTCCTGAGTGCTGGGATTACAGGTGTGCAGCACCACGCCCAGCCAGAGAAGTTTAAGAAGAAAAATGATAAACTACTATTCCATCACCTAGAGAGTACTATCAAGATTTATTGTGCATGTGACTTGTATATTTGCCTTCAAATTTGAACTTTTACATTGTTTTATTTATGTATTTGAACATTTTTCTAAAACATAATTTAAAAATCTTTTACATAATACGTGCACCACTGAAGGTGCCGTCGTTCATTTACCCATTTTCATTTAGGTTCTTTCTGATTTTTCACACTGTAAATACTGTTACAGTGAACATTCTTACAAATTATAACCATCTTGATGACCATCTCTGGTTATTGCCAAACAAGTAATTCTGATTTTAAGAAATGGTACTGCTGAGCCAGTGGTATGAGCCTTTTTAAAATCGTTGGTCTCAGTTTTCAAATTACCCATGGGAAATGTCGCATCACAGTTATACTCAAGCTAGCAGCAGATGTAAGTGTGCGTTCCCCATAACCAGTGCTGATCACTCTAGAAAAATCTTTTGTCAGTTTGGTGGACAAGATATTTTGTTTTAAAAAATATTTTTCACTTATTTATTGATTGGTACTAAGGATAAAACCCACAGGGCCTGCTCATTAAGCTATATACCCAGCCTGTTTTTCTTTTTAAATTCTGAGACAAGGCCTTTCTCCATCCATAAATTGCCCAGGTTGGGCTCCAGGTTGGGATCCTCCTGCCTCAGCCTGCCAGGGTGCTGGGATTACAGGTATGTACCACCATGCCCAGCTTTAATATTCTTAATTAGGTATAAAACTTTAGGTGAAGCTTACTGATTACTGGGATTTCTTCTTCCCTGATTTGTGTGTTGCTATCTTTTGTTATTTTTCTCTTGGATGTAGTGGCTTTTTTTTCCCAGTTTGCTGTTTACCTTTTAACTACTTTTTGCTGTTGTTACTTCTGCTACTCTTCTCTTTTTTAAAACCTTTAACTCACCTGCAGATTGTCCTCAGGCACAGCCTCAGCAGTCTACAGGAGCACCATGGAGTTCTAGCAGGAGAGTTGGAAGTTCTCCACTGACCAAACAGCTGTGTTTTATACTATCATCTCATTCCCATAACTTTGTAGATGATAAATGAAAATACTGATTTATCTAAAAGCATTATTGAATCCAGGGTGAGATTTTAGTGGTTTTTTTGGTTTTGTTTTGTCTTTTTGAGACAGGGTCTTGCTATGCAGTTCAGGCTGGCCTTGAGCTCACTTTGTAACCCAGGCTGGTTTCGAACTCTCAACAATTCTCCTGCCTCAGCCTCCCGGGTGCTGGGATTACAGGCGTGCACCACCATACCCGGTTCATAGTGAGATTTTGTCATTAAGTATTTTATTCGACCATTGATACTGAGTATCAATTAGCTACTTTACACTTGCTAATTCCATCTGGGATGGTCCATAGGTGTCAAGTACAAGCCCTGAAGACACCATGACATTACCAGAAGGTGTTCAGAAGTTTGTACCTACCTTCCTCGCACAAAGTAGGGAAAAAGGAATTCGGCTATCCCCTCCAAAGACTGTGGGGGCTGTCAAGCTCATCCCAGTCCCTTTTACAGCCTCACCTCGGCTGCCAGAGGGAGTTTAGTGCAGTATTCAAAGTTTAGTGCCGGAGTTTCCCCAGATTATGTGGGTAAGTCTAAGAACTGGGTTCAGGAGTAGAAAACTTGGAATTCCCTGATTTAAAGGAAAATTTTAAAAAAAAAGATTGTTAGTTTATGGGAAGAGAGGAGATGAAGGAAGGAGAGGGTTGGCTTGGTTGCTTCCGCCCTCCGGGTTATATATACTGAGCTAGAGATGCCCGGAGTCGTCTAGGACACTGGCAGGTGTGCGTCAGAAATCCGAGGTAAATATGCAGATTCAGACACTGTGTCTCTGTAGCAGCTGAAAACACGGGCAGGTGGAGGTGTATACACTTGCCTGGAAGTAGCGGTACGAGAAAGGAGAGCTAAGGAGCTCCATGTCTAGCGGATGGGGGAGGAAGAACTGCCCGAAAAGGTGGAGGAAATGCTGACGTCAGAGAGGCAGAAAGCTTTGGTACAAGCACAGTGGTGCAATAGCAAAAATATTTTCATTTGAGAGTCAGACCTATTGGCTGTGTAACTTTAGCACTTCTTTTTAACTTGTGAGTCTTTTCCTTGTCCCCACATGCAGATAATACATATCTGCTTTAAAGAACTGCTGTGAGGGTTACATAATAATGCTCGGGTTTCCACGCCGCAGAGGATGGATGGTTTACAGCAGCGAAGGGAGAACCCCGAGATACGATCCTCATCCGTGGTACAGGGAGGGCGTGGGCTGCAGCGGCTTTGTGGGATTAGTTAAGCAGAACATCAACAAGTGTGTGAGTGAGTTCTCAGGCTCCGGACAAAGAAACTCAGCGTTTGAGCCTGAGAATCCGTCCTTCGTATTCACTGACAGACAATGGCTTCTCCGTGGGCCAAAGACAGGGTTATAGCGTGCCTCCAAACCTCTCTTCAAGTCCTCTTCTGATTGAGGAACTTCCTCTATTTAAAAATAAAACTGGGGGGAGGAAAAAAGAGAATAGAAGAAAAAATGGAAACAAATATTTTGTAAATAGGAGAAGAGGGATAGAAGAGAGAGGAGGGGAGTGGGAAAAAAAGCAGCAGCAAGACAGGTCATGTAATTATAGACCGCTCCGGGGCTGGAGATATAATAGCTCAGTGGTGCAAGTGCCTGCCTGGCAAGCAAGAGGTCGTGAGTTTGATTCCCGGCACCCAAGAAAAAAAAAAATTATAGACAGCTAAGTTAGGTAGAAATATTGCAGGCAGACAGACAGGGCT